CGATGGCTCATTTTTATACATGCCTAAGGGTTGCATTCTGATGTTAGGGACTTGAAATTGTAGAAGTTAATCTTTAGTTATTAATTTATGCAGTCATATTTTGGGCGATGATATAATGTGGTGGCTGGTGGCCGTTTGGAACCTTACTTACTTACTTACTCACTGAGCTGAGCTCTTCTGGAGGAGCCGCCAATTCTTCAGCTACTCAAGAAAATCCCAGCATTTTGCGGAACCCGAAGGTTCATTACCGTGTTCACAAGAGCCCTCCACTGGTCCCTATCCTGAGCCAGATAAATCCAATTCATACCATCCCATCCTATCTCTCTAAGATCCATTTTTATATTATCCACCCACCTACGTCTTGGTCTTCCCAGTGGTCTCTTTCTTTCTGGCTTTCCCACCAGTATCCTATATGCATTTCTCCTCTCCCCCATTCGTGCTACATGCCCTGCCCACCTCATCCTCCTTGACTTGATCATTCTAATTATACTCGGAGAAGAGTACAAGTTATGAAGCTCCTCATTATGCAGTTTTCTCCAACCTCCTGTCACTTCATCTCTCTTGGTTTGGAACCTAGCATTTAAAAAACAAATATTTTCCAAGAACCTCAATTTCATCTTGAAGGACGCTGCGTCAGTGTCTTATAAAAGTAGCCAACGGTCACTGGGCTTTATAGGTTCTTATGCAATCGGAGAATAAAGCAACTACTGATGAATAATTATCAAGTTAAATATTATGTAACTTCATTAATATTCTATTATATTTTATTTCGTTCTCTCTTGTGTAGAAGTTCCAAAATAAGTCCCAGAGACTCGATGTACAGTCATCTGGCTTCTGTAGAACGAAGATCTTTCGAGAGAAATTTGGGAACGTCTGTTCTGCACCACAGCCTATTATTTTATGTATTACGAGGAAAACAACACTAGAATGCAGCAAATTGTAAGGAAACTGGTTTCATGCTCCTACGTGTCAAACGGGTCGATGCAGCAACCGTAGAAAAATGTCATATGCTAATTATATATGTGTGTATGTGTCCATATACTCGTATATATGTATGTTTGTGTTACACAATGGACTCCCGCCTGCAATAAACTAAAGTGAAGCAAAGTATTGGCCATTTAGAACAGCTCTTGACCCTAGCTCAGAGGTCAGTGTTTTCACAGCAGAGGTGTGCGGTACTTTTATTATTCCAGAAGCCAATAAACTGGGGAGCTTTAACACCTGCTGCACAAGACGCCGTGAAAACCAAGGGACGAGGTTGTAAACTTGATATCATCACAATAATATAAACAGACAACATCTCTATTTCTCTGGGCCTGTTCCTACAATGGCCTTCGAATATTGTCAGTCAGAGATGTTAGCAGTAATCCGTTGTTTATTTCCTGTTCTGGGGTTTCGTTTTTCTACTATGACGCTGGAGCCCGAACAAAGGTAGATGAACGAACTGTGATAAATTATAAAACAGAGTGGGGAACAATTTGTCCAAGGCATCTTCAAGACAAGATGGATTCAAATGAAAGATAACCAATGAGGAAGTGTTAGGGAACAAATGAATTACATTAACTTGCTAACTCTTCGGAGTAGAGTCTTTTTAAAAGAGCAATAGTCGCTTAGCTAGTAAAGAAGTTGTGGCTTTGCTATAGCTCATGCGGTTAGCCACCTGCTTCTTACCACAGCGGCCCGAGTTCAGTTCCAGGTTTGTATATTTAGGATTTCAGGTTTCCAAAGTAGTGTCGTGGCAGGTTTTCTCCGGATACATCGGTTTCCCCTGTCAATTTTCATTCCAACAAACGCTCCGTTGCCGGAGCAACGGGCCAATTATGGTCAAACTACCGAAGAACTCATTTTCGTTGCAATCCAAGAATGAAAAATGTCACGAAATTACTCACCTATTATGGAACACGATGGTTCATTACACTGGTCTCAAAAGCTCGTTATTGATCCTTGTCCTGAGCAAAATGAATCCAGTTCACACTCTACCTCCATATTTATTTCAGACACTCTTACTCCGATATTCCAAGTGACATTTTTACATCTGGGCTTTCGACCAAAATTTTGTATGCATTGATTACCTCCCCTTGCGTGTTTTATGCTCTCCGCCCACCTAAGTGAATTAGACCTACACAGTTTAATAGCGTTGCAGTTGTCATGCTGTGTGGCTCGCACTCTGAAGGTAACAGGTTCGGATCCAGTAGGGTACCAACCAAGATGATGTATTGTGGCATGTTTCTTTTTCACTAGGAAAATGTAAGGACAGCAAAATTTAAATAGTCCACAACCAGTGCTTCCCGATTAGTTACGAAAAGGCATCCGACAATAGCTCATTCGACGATGATGGGTTTGGCGTCATAAAATAACATAACATTTAGTCCACCAGCAATATCAAATTAGTCCGTATATGAATGTATGGTCTCAATTGCAAATCGAAGAAACTTATCTCGCGGCAGGTACATGACGTGGCGGACTGATGATCGGGGAGTTCCTGTTTCAAATCTCTTCAGTCCACCTGACATTCCGACTTGCAACTTTCATGGTCTGCACGTGCGCATTGGGTCCAGTCTCTCTTCCCTTCTGTCTTGATTGTAATGCACTTTCTTGAAGCCGGTCACAGAAGACAAGCGGTGTAAGGCATGAACTGTCTTCGCTCGCTCGAACGCTGGGATCACGGGTTCGAATCCTACTTAAGGCACGGATGTTTGGTGTGTGTATGCGTTTACTCTGTATTTGTGTCGTCCTCTGTTTAGGTAGACGCCTTGCGACGAGCTGATCACCCGTCCAAGGAGTCCAACCGTCTGTGAAAAATGATTACGGAACTGAATAAGAGGCCAGGGCCCTGAATGGGCTGGAAGAGCCATTGAAAGAAAAATACTTTCTTGGAGATCAGTTTTTGCTACCATCTTTTACCTTCGCCTTTTCACTTCAAGAACCAACATACTTTTCTTATTGTCGCTTCGGATTTTGGTTTACTCTGAATATCTTTGTGGTTTCAGAGATAATTGAATTAGACCACAGAGTTTAAAATGGAGCCGTACTACTTTCTGAACATTATTCTGGTACGCTTTTGCAACCTTAAGTCCATGGAGTTTTTCTAATGAAACAAAAGAACATACATTTCTGTAATGAATATTAAAATCGGCCTACGAATTTCGTGGTTTATTATCTAAGGCAGAGTTTCCCAACCTCACGGTCCACGGACCACCAGTGTTCCGCGAAAGAACTTACAAAGTGGTCGGTCTCCACTTTCAAGGTCAGTCTGACTTGAACCTGTCACACAGAATGCCTGTCAGTTGGTGTTAATTCTTTATTTATGCCCAACAAAAATATGTTTGCAAGAAAAATCTGTATACTATTTTCATTTTAAAAACCATGGGGATGTAAATGTTGATTAAATTTTACTCGCATTCCATTCGAAATTCTCTACACGATCCCTTTAATATCCGGGTGGTCCACCAAAGAATATCCACGCAATAAGTAGTCTGTGCTTCAAACGCGGAACGCGAATTCATGTTGCGTTTACATTAATATTACTCTTTGCTCTAAGGGTCACAATAATTCTAACAATAAAAATAACAGCTGTGAAGAACAAATATTCATTGCACAAATTTTGGTGATATTTTTGAACATATTAACAGGTTCAGTGTCTGACAAATAACAGAACTGATTAATTACTTCTTTTGCAGCAGTTGGAAACACTAGAAAGCTTCTGGGGGCATGCGGTAGCTTAGTTGGTTGAGACGCTATGCTACAAGCCGGAATATCACGGGTTCGAGTCCCGACGAGGTGGATTTTTTCAATTGACCTAAACCTTCCATCCGCACTATGACTCTGAGGTCGGCTGAGCTTCTAACAGAAATGAGTACCAGGAATCCTCTTGGGTGCGAAGAGCGGCTGGCGCGGCTGACAACCTTACCGCTATCTTTGAGCCGATTGTCTAGAAAATGTGGGAGCCTTGACGTCTCACCACCCTATGGGCCATCACTGCCTGTTACAGGGATAGCTCTTACCTTTTTTACCTTGAGGAAGCTCCCGAGAGTTACACAGTATCTTGATTTAGAACTTTTGTGTTAAACATGATTTGTGCTTGAGTTATGACTGGGGTGGAGTTTCGTTCGCATGGTGTTTCATTGTTGCTCAAAAACATATGGACAAAAGAAATTTGGTCACATCACGTATAAAGAATTTGAAGAAGACAGAATACCTAATTGTATCTTTCAGTACAGAGCATCGGGATATAGAAATATTGGCATATATCGGAAGAAATGATCAGCTCAATTAGGAGACGCAACAGGTCGACAGACCTCCTGCGTGAAACAGAAATTCTTACAAGAGGACTAGTGGGAGAATCAGATATGTAAAAAAACAACAGATATATATGATCAGATGTGACCTTCCAGCATGATCTAAAGAATAAATCACCAGAATTCTCCAGCAGAAAATACTAAAATCTCCGAAACCAAAAATATGTACAAATGTCGAAATGAAATATAGGTATACGTAAATTCAGAGGCTTACTTATTCGACTATTTGGTCTTAAAACATTAGCCAGTACGAACTTATACTTCAATTACCTTCGATCAAGTTTTCTACTTTTTGAATTACTGATAAATTCAAGTAGCAGAATTTTCGTCCCAAAGGAGAAAACCTGTTCTGAACATACAGGATCTGTATCATGATAATTCCTTTTCCTACAGAGCACTTTCGATAGATCGACTTTTAGCGAGACACAACTTCCACTGTTGGAACATCAACGTACGCTTGCTTCGGCTCCATGCGATTTTCCCATGTTCCCGTGTTCGTCAAACGCTCTAATGTTTAATCGTCCAGAAGAACGCGATGCCAATACTGAAAGATCTGTCGTGAAGGTGATTATAATCACTAAAATGTAGTGACAGTATAGGACATATATTCTATTTGCATACTCAACTGGTTATTTCGTTGTATGACATCTTAATAAAATAAAACCGAGTACGGTGTGCAAAGCGAAATCATACATCACTCACCCCAAGGTATCTCGGTGTACGTTATTTCGTTGACGCTGCTTTCTGAATCTGAAAAGAAAGGAGAATAAATATTACAGTGGGCATTTACGCTAATTGCAACACACACCTGCGAAATGCTAAAGCTTAACAGACTTTGTAATGACGATCTTTCAACCATGTTCAGTGTTTCTTAGTAATTTTTTACTTCAATTAACAACGCTTTGATAATTTTGGCGTCAATAGCGTTGAATTACAAATATCACAATGGTCACAAACGATCTTACCCTTCAAGAAACCCAATGATAATTAAACAACTTAAATACTGAGACGGTGTACTATGCATATATCGTATGTGTTCAAGTATACAGATTCTGACCCGTGCGAAACTTCTGGAACGATTTAACGGCACTCGAGCCTGTCATGACTTCAAACTACAACTTTGTTCAAAGGGAACGGTATGACGTGTAACTTGCGGCACCATAATCCATCACTTTAAGCAAACGAATTGATGTGTGTACGAAAAATGTAATATTATGAGTACCAAAGTCCGATCACAGTGGCCGCGCGTTCTAAACCATGAACTGTCTTCGCCAGATTGAACGCTGATATCGTGAGTTTGAATCCAACTCAAGGTATGGATGTCTGTGTGCTTTTACTCTGTGTTCGTGTTGTTCTGTGTGTAGGTAGCAGCCTTTCGACTGGCTGATCCCCCGTCCAGGCAGTCCTGCAGACTTTGTATTGGCTTAAGAAACTGAAAAAGCGGCCTAGGTCCAACAAACGAAGTACAGAGCAACAGAAAGACAGACAGACAGATAGACAAATAGAGAATCTGTCTGATGAGGGCCACATACTGTGTTTGGAGTCCTGTAAATGCAAAAGCAACGTGTTGTCTACTGGAGACTTAGTAGCTCAACAATAAAATGTCTGCTCCTTGAAGGTTACTGTGAAGCAATTATTTTTAATAAGATGTACTGACTGTCCGACTAAACAGCAAAACCAGATGTGCCAAATATTTCGCTAGTTCAGATGTGGATGAGCCAATGCAGCTTACAGTAGCACTTAGTGGCACATCCTGCTCGTGGACGTTCGGTAGGCTGTATAGTCTCTGTGGCACCAATGCACGTGAATGAGTTTCTTCGACCAACACGTCGGAAACCATCATGATGATCTGCAGTAATTTCTTTTATATACGAAATTAACGTTGCGTGCGGACTGTTAGATATACATTCGTATGAAATTGATTAGAACGATATTCAATTTTATTGCTATTTACGAAAATAAGTATTACATTACATCCTTGCCTTTCTCTTGCACGTATACAATTTTCTGAATAGAACGAATACATTTCTGTGTTTCGGGATGTAATATTCTACTTCCTTCTTGGATCAATTCTGATTAGATTTAATCAATACAAGACGGCTGATATCTTTTCAATTTATCAATATAAATCTGAACCTCTCAAAGAAATACGATCAGGCACCAGTGGCTCACCTGTACGCTTTTCAGTCTGCTTGAGAACTTCAGCCGAATATGCATTTATAGTTGACTGAAGCAATTCTTTGATCCTCTCAGTACGTTTACTGTGTGAATCTGCACGTACACTGCCAAGCTCATCTGCTACCAGGTTAGTTCCAGGTTGGTAGCCCTTAAAATCATCTATGCCTATATACAAGCCTGTAATATAGTTTATTTTTTCTTTCACGCTTTTAATTTTATCTTTTTGGTATTTCTTTTCTCGTCCTGAGAACTTTAATGGTTTCACGTCTTACATTGTACAGATTATGTTCCTTCATTTGGCTTGGATTCTGCAGTCACTGACAGTACAGTCATGGAAAGCATATAAACCACCTTGAAACTACGTGTACATTGAGATCTGTTTTAGAAGGCATAACGTGGCCACGTAATGTTGACCTGCGGTATCCAAACAGGTAAATATTTTTTTTTATTTGAGATAGATTCATACAGTCTGTCCAATTAAGGACAATGAGCACTTTTGGTGACTGATGTGGTGACTATGTCATTAACAGTGTTAATAAGGCTATCCCAGTAGATGCCTTAAGAAGGTAAATATAAAGCTACCCATATAACAGGCCGTGGAGGCCCATAGGGTTGTGAGACGTCGAGGCTCCCACATTTTCTAGACAATCGGCTCACAGATGACGGTGAGGTTGTCAGACTTATGCATCTGTCGCTCTTCACCCCCCGGAATATTCCTGGTACTCATTTCTGTTAGAGGCTGCGTCGATCCCAGGGTCATAGTGCGACTAGAAGGATTAGATAAACTGAAAAATCCAATTACCTCAATGGGAATCGAACCCGCGACCTTCCGGCTTATAGCATAGTGTCTAAACCAACTACGCTACCGCGTACACCCCTGCGATTTATGCTCAGGTATAATTTCAGGACATCGGAATATAACTACTAGTTAGAACTGACGTCACATTTCAATGTAACTTCATTCAGTGGCGATGTTCAGTATCCTATCAATTAGGAGCGACTGCCATTTAACTGGTTTCCTCGCCAAACTGGGCGTCGAACTAACACACCCAACACTTAGTTAACTCGACGAGTTTCAAGCAGAGAATGTAAAAGTGTAACATACGCTAACTTGATGGCAATTCAATAATATGAGGCAATAAACACGATTTCAGGTATCTCAAATCTATTCAAAAGGGATGACTGAGACAATTTTGACGAAAACGAGAGAAATTTCAAGAAGATCTGAATTCAGAGATGTGGAACTGGGTCGAAAACAAGAGCAAGCGAACTCAGTGGCTCGCGACTTGCGTGTCCGCTTCTCATTTCGGAGTCTGCAAATATAACGATGGCATTACTGTTCATTTACCCAATCTTTAACAGGGCCAGAAGCAGCTGCTCTTTCGCTCTGCAATCTTCCTACAACTTCCTGCGCAAGTTTCTTTGTCTGTACTGTAACCACTGTAGACCTAGAGAACTGAATGTTGCTTTCATTAAGGTCCTATTACTATCACTTCAGAATTATTTCTGTAGTCATAATAAATTCAGACTAACTGAATGAACTGGGACGGCGGTATTTTGATTTTTATTTAAAAAGTAGGTTTACCTGTTTAGGATTTCGACCATAACAACCAGTATTCATGGCATAATATATTCAGCGCTAAGACGGTTATTATCATAATCAGGGCCCGGATTTTGATGACCTGAAAATATTTAAAAATGACCGAAAAATCCAGAAAATTGACCTAAAATATGACCCAAAAATGTAATATACAGGGTCCGGATTTTGATGACCTAAAAATATTCAAAAATGACTTATAAAATGACCGAAAAAATCCAGAAAAATGACCTAAAGGAGAAAAGAAAGAACACTTCGCTTCCATATTATTCACATTTCAGAAAACATATGAAGAAAAATTCCCTAAGATGGTCAAAAATGACAAGAAATACCCTTAAAAGTCCAAAACTTTACCAAAAAGAAATACCCCAAAAATGAAAAAATGTCAAAAAATGACAAAAAAATTACATATAAAATTTATATTTCTGTAACCAGCAGCTCATATCCGAGATTTATATATTTAAGGGCATCGCATAGGATACAAGGAAAAAAAAAGATGACGTCATCAAAATCCGGGCCTTGATCATAACTTTGTTTGTAAAACATTAAAGATCATGGCTTACAAAAAATTAAATTTTACCAGATGTTTTGTAAGGTTGTATTTCGTCAAATACTTCCCGGAGATATCATAAGTTATAACTGTTTAAAAGAAGAGTTCAATACAATAATTGGACCTAGGAAGGATGAGACAAGCCGGTAATTCAGGATATCACAGTTAGTACAATGAAAACTACGACACCATAATGGACTAGGCTTGTAACTCGAACAGTTAAGACAGAGAATACAGACAGTTACAGAAGTAGACAACGTAAAAAAAAACTGGCTAACTGAAAAGAAAATTCTTTAACAAAAGATAAATACATGGAAATAAAACAAGAATATATGAGTAAATGGCATCTATTTAAACAAAATATTGTGTAATTCAATTAGCGACTGTCTACTTAACAGAAGGAATCCTGTAAACAGTGATCGGATACGTTAGAAAATTACTTTGGATTAGTTTGAAAATTACTTTGGATTAAAACATTATAAAAACGTAAATTGGCCGTAATGTACTGAACCTACATGCAGTGTTTCTTGTTCTCTGAGCAATCCGAGACCACAATTTCCATAGATGGATGCCATCAGTTAATGTAATTTAGAAACAACTTGTCCCTAATAATCTGTAGCATATTGTGTTGGACCTATGGTTCTGATATCAGTGGCTACACACAGCACTGTCTCTTTGAATGTGACGCCTTGTACTCCGGTGCAAGTTCATCGACGTATCGCAGGAACGTACTGCCTCCATCTTCAGATTAGAAAAGTAGGGCAAGCAACAAGCAAGAGCAAGATGAGCTTTCGTTTAACAAGGAAGAAGGAAAGAACAAGCTGTCTGCATGGCTTTCTCTTAAATCCTGAAAATTGGAGCAGTACGTTTCTACAAAAAATATGGAGAACGGTGATGGTGATAATTTAAAATGGAAGGTTATAAGAATCACGCGACAATGAATTAACAACGACATGGTCTCAGAAATTATGAAGTAACTCCAAATAGTATAATATTCTATAACCTCCAGGTCACAACATCGGACTAAGGTCAGGGCACAAGTTATAAGGGTTCATCGCAGGGTTAACGTGTTGTCAGAAGCCAAGGGTTGAACTATTAACGATAACACGAAGGTCATAATAAACTGATATGTGAGATTTATAAGTTCGTAAGGATTTTATTATGATAACTCTTGACCGATTCTGGACCGTATTAACTGCAGATTTTATTTGCCGTATGAAGACTGAGAGCAAGATAAAGTAGGGATCGGGAAGTTTCGGGTCATGGCTTATTTTAAAGTTATTTATACCAACAGAATATACAGACAACAAAACTTCGTTCAGAATAGCCCGTGCGTGGGGACGAGTCTCAAAGTCGGTACCTTCCACAAGTATAACAAGTAAGAATTATAGTTAAAGAATAGGTCTAATGGTAGCTTTACTTATC